TCATGTTATATCTTTTTCCCCTTCAGACAAACACTAAGGAAATCATAAAAATAAATCTATCCACGAAATGACTGGGTTTCAGGATTCATTTTCATTATAGCCATAGTTCTGTATCTCAATACACTATACATGGTAAACAAAGCAATAGGATATAGAAGTACCTATGTAATTGCATTCCATTTTCTGTACCTTGTACTTCAATCAATCTGGGATATAATATAAAATTATTTCCTTAATCAACTGAGAACTACCATAGAACTTATATCTTACAAAATGGCTTGATTTTTCTGACTCTAGAAGTAAAATGTAGTTAAAAATTTCAGACAATACAGAAGTGTCTATAGTTGAAAAGAGGCTTTTAAATGACCCAACACCTAGAAATATCCACTGCTAACAGTATAATGTATCTAGTTCCAAATTCTTAATATACACATGTAATAAACAGCTATATTTATTATAAGAAAAATGATTCAGTATAGATATATTGGTACTTCCCATGTTAATGCTAATGCATCTATTATGTTCTTTTAACAGTTCTATGTTGTGCTGATGTTGTAATTGTCGCCATTATGCTACTATGAATGGAGAAAGTTCTATTATATATCCATATGTTGCACAATATATACATAACGCATAATATATGAATATATAATATATATTTCTATTATACCCTTTTTTTCTTTTATACTTATGTCACTGTTTCTTTATAGGGAAATGATTAGGTTGCTAACTGAATACTTATTTGTAACCAACAAAGTTATGAGCTTTTAAATTTTAAAAATATTGTCATGTGTTTCTTAACATTATTTCCAGCTTTATAGCTCCTCATACTTCCTTCAAATAATGGTACATTTGTCTCCTGATATTTTTAATATATCACAATGCTATAATGTAATATTTAACACAGCATATGACTATGTTATCTGTAACAATATATACCATACAATACACTTATATTTTTTATCTTTAATGGCATTGACTAATATTCTGAGAAGACACAATTTCATTGATGATTTTTATTCTTCAGCATGACATAGTAAACTGATCAGCTTTATGTAATAATTTTGACTTGTATTTAGCTCTATCCATTATTAATATTTTATTCTGTTATTTGTTTTTATTAGGTATTAGCCTCATATCTTTGCCTATTCTTTTATGCTTCAATATGTTTGTATAATGTTTCAATATATATACTTAAATATATATGTGTTTTTTCAATGTTTTCCCATCTTGTCTAACCTCATTCCTCCATAATTTAGAAGGATTATACTAGATTTGCTAGTAGTTACCTTTATAGTATTAAATAGAAATTTTCTCATTATCTGAATTATCAGAATGAAGAAATAATTGAGCCAGTCAGGATTCAGGCAGGAAAGCAGAAGTTACAGTAAATGTTTTCAGTAGAAAGAGTTCTGAAACAGGAAATCATAAGTGTACCCAGCACTGGAAGGGTAAGTGGATGGACAGTGAGTTGGTAGCAGGTTATTTCAGCTGCTAGCAACACCAAAAGACTCTCAAAACTCTTTTTTTTTTTTTTAATCCTCACTCGAGAACATTTTTCCTTCAGATAGAGTGGGAGGGAGAGAGAGGAAAAGAGAGAGAGAGAGAAACATCGATGTGAAAGGGACACATCGAGTGGCTGCCACCTGCAAGACCAATCAGGGCCGGGGACAAACTGCAACCAAGGTCCACACCCTTAGCGGGAACTGAACCTGGGTCTCTCTGGACCACAGGCTGACACTCTAACGGCTGAGCCAAACCGGCCAGGGTGACTCTCAAAACTCTTAATAAAGTTATTCTCCAGTATCCCAGCTGTCTGCAGAACAGAAGCAGTGAGTCATAAGAATTTATTTGTAAACTGTTGTGAATTTCAAGAACATAAGGAAGGCTGCCACAAACTACCTCAGTTGCCTGCCGCAGCCATTCTGGTGATCGCAAGAGCTTGCCTTTGCCTGCCTGCAACTATCAATGAAAGTAGGGCTTTTCAAGCCTTGAACAGGCAGCTATGTTGATGAGAGCATCTTCCCTATATGCCAAGGTTGTGGCTTCGATCGCTGGTCAGGGCACATACAAGAAGCAATTAATGAATGCATAAACAAGTGGAACAACAAATCTCTCTCTCCGCTCTAAATCAATAAATAATATAAATAAATAAATAAATAAATAAATAAATAAATAAATAAATAAATAAATAAATAAATGCCTTTTCTTGGCTTTTGCTTGCTGAGCAAGCTCTTCTCATTGAAAGACTCTAATCCAGAAGGGAACATGAAAAGTGATTCTGGGATATTTATTTCTAAGCTCCTCTCCTGTGATACAAAGAACACTGTAGAAGAAAGGAGTCATGGATGAGGAATGAACAACAGGCAGTAAGGAAAACCTACTGTCACAAATCCACTAAAATGAAGAATAAAACTAAAACCTGATGCCTTTTCCTTCTATTTACCAGAAATTCCTCTTCTTCCTAGAAAGTTATGGAAGAATTTACCCAAGCTTTTATCAACAAAATACTTTTATGTTAGGTAATTTTTACCTCAAAGATTGCATTATAGTATATGCATTTCATTTTTCTTACCACAACTTCATTTTAAAAAGATTTTTGTTCCATCTTTAATTTGATTAGTTCTATATTTACTACTAGTATTTTATTATTATTTTTTATCCTCACCCGAGGACATTTTTTTTTGATATTTTGTTCAGATAGAGTGGGAGGGAGAGAGAGAAAGAGAAACATCGACGTGAAAGGAACACATCGAGTGGTTGCCACCCACACAACCCAACCAGGGCCGGGGACAAACTGCAACCGAGGTACACGCCCTTAGTGGGAACCGAACCCGGGTCTCTTGGGACCGCAGGCCGATGCTCTAACCGCTGAGCCAAACCGGCCAGGGCTAGTATTTTATTATTTTAATTCTCCACTTCCAAGTTGTTTTGATTAAAGTTCATTTTGTATTGACTGGATTATGCCTTTAGGTATATCAATGTAAGGCATAAATTATTTTTTTTTAAGATCCCAGTAATGCTTAACCTAGATTTCCGTTGTCTGTTCATGTCTATATTTAATCTACTTACAATTCAGCTCATTTTACTTATGTTGTGTGATTTTCTCAAACCTTTTATTTATAGCATTAATTCATTCAGATGTTTAGTATATGTATTGTAAACTGTCACCACTATTATAATTTCAGAATTTTTTTTTCCATTTTGTTCATCATATAATTTCTTGTTAAATATTTTTCTGTTGTTTTATTGTCTTCATTGATAAGATCATGTGTCTTGTAATATATTAAATTTTGTGAAATGAAACATACATAGGTAAAAGAGCATAAAATATGAATGTACTGCTTAAAATTATGTTTAATAAGAATGTTATTAACACTCCAGAAAATTCTTGCATGTCTTATTTTAATCATAATATTTTCTCTTACCATAAAAGTTAGTATAGGTAAAACTATCCTAATTTTAAGGTAGATGCTTCTTTACATTCATTATAATTTTATGAAGCATGAATCAAAACTCTAAACCATATAATATAGAATTAATTGTCTGTTAAGTTCCTGCATATAAGTGAAGTAATAATGGCTTTTTTTTTTCTCTTTCAATCTTTGTTGTGTGTAGTTATCAAGCTTTCATTTTCATTGCTGTGCAGTATTAACTTGTTTGAATACACCACAATTTATCCAATTCACTTTTTGTGGGCACTTGTGTTAATCCAGCTTCTGATTTATGAAACAGATAGACACAAATATTTTTATATGTATCCTTGTACAACACATGCAGCATCTGTAGCCTTGAAACTCATTGACCAGTGTAGAACTTTTAGCAACACCTGGGCACTTGGTAGAAATGTACATTCTAAGGATCTTCCCAGAATTAATGTTTGAATCTGAATTAAAACAAGAATCCCAAATAATTAAGACACACATTTAATATGAGGAACACTGCTCTATAATATGTTCATAAAGAACAACTGCATATTGATAAAATGTATATCATCTACAAGAGTTGACAATACCAATCTGTTTCAAAAAGAGGCTAGATTTAACAATCCCATCAGAAAGTGAATCAATCTCTCTTATTTTATCTTCTCCTCTTCAACATTTGTAATTGCAATAACCTTCAACTTTTCCGAAGAGGGTGAGAAACTAGTTATATCTCCTGTATTGTATATATTTTAACTTTTTTTTTTAAATTTGGAGTTTATAATCATTCTAACTGCAGAGCAGTTTTGTTCAGAGAGGTATTCTGTTTGTGTTGAAATTCTATATTAGTGTAGTTTCATTTTCTTTGCATGTTATTGTTTTATTCATTTATTTTAAAAGATATGAATTTAATTTCTTATTTTTTGATCCCTTGACTGTGATTACTGCTCTGTGATGGATATCTAGTTCAAGAACATGAGTTTACAAAATCAAAGCCATAATATAGAGAAAGGATTAGACAAACATAATAAAATATTTGCTGAGAAGTGATCAGATAAATATAAGTATTTATGGATTCAATTTAGAAATATAACTTTTCTAGAGTTTACTTGTTTCCATTTAACTTTACCTATTTGAGAGGTAGGGTAGTTAACAGAAATAGAAGCTAAAATTGGCATTAGCTCACAGTTACTCATGGTTGAAAGAAAATAGCACAGTCAGGCATTCCACTTAGTACAGGACTTAAATCAAGCATTCTTGTTATAGATAAAGCTATTCTGAGTTGTACTGGAGACAAAATCACTGAAAGACCTTTTGGAACATATTTAAGGTAATAATGGATAACACTATGCATTTTAAAAGTTAGTTACAAAACATAGTTTTTTTAATACTTAAAACTGTTTAAAAGGTCCAAAGATCTGGTTTATTAAGCTGAAAACATTCTGTTAATAAGTGTTTTGTTTTTTAATTTCCCTATTAGAAGGATATACTGACTGTTATAAAATTATTGACTGTCACTTCCTTAACTTAAAACATGAAATGCATGTTAGCTGATAAAACTTAACCAGAAATAGCAGGATGCTCATCAAAAATACCATTTCTAACATTGGTAAGTGAAATCTAGGGCAAGGTTAATCATGTACATGTTAAGACAGGTTATGCCAATTACACAGAAACTTGGAGGGCTCTCACGGTTATTTAAAGTCTGAAATACTTCCATTCTCAGGAACTCTCAACCTTCTCTTCCAGCTGCTACCTACCAGGTATCTTTGTTATATATGTAGAAAGTCGATTACCTATTTTTGCTATATCCAAATAAATATTGAGGGGACTGACCGTTGGACAGGACATTCTGTAGAGAAACCTGAGAGAGAAACATGGTAAAATAAATTAAACCTTAGAAATTTAAAAATTGTATCATGTAGAAATAGAGTCAAAACATTGCTTGTGCCTCGTGTTTATTTGTGGAGTTAGAGAGAAAAATAAATGTCCAAGTGAATAAGTCTCATAATTTGCTTTAGCAAGTTTATACAAGTAAAATTCTCTCTTTAATGCTATTCAGTAACAAACAGAAAAGGACAGTTTTTGTACTTTTGGCAAATATGAATCTGTAATCCTCTTGTTAACAACATTAATGACCCCAATGTACTATCTCCAAACACTGTGATAATAAAAGTAATAATGGTCTTTCAGTAATTTTCCTTATGCTTACTTTTTAGGTGAATCTTAATTTCTTAAGTAATCTTATTTAAATATTATTTGATATGTGGGGCGTTATTCTCCTGAGAACTGATTCTAAATTATCCTTCCAATGTTTTTTCCTAGCAGATCCATTTGATGTGTAACCTGCACTTGTTTCAAAAATCTCACATTGATGAAAAAAGAGGTTTCACATATCACTAAATTTGGAGATACTTCCAGTATAAAAAAATTTTAAAATGCCTACATCATTGGAATCTAAGACTCCAATAATAAGATCCTTGTTTTTCATTCTTATAGATAAGAATATTCCTTTGGATTCTTCATTGTTGTTTTTTCATTTCAATTGTTTATAAAGATTTGGCCTGATCCATTTTGCTACATTTGATGATTTTATGGTAAAGATATGGTTCCCTTTCTATAGAGAAGATAAATAAAATTTGGGCATTACCTCTTACCAGTACCTGCAGAACTGACTGTGTTCCTAAAGCCAAGAGCACAGCCCGAAACTGAAACAGATTTAGATACACATGCACTTAGGCCACTAAACCCAGCAGTGAAGTGTGGAAGACTGATCGCCACAGCCAAGCTGGTGACTCATGTGAAAAGAGGAGTGGACTCCAAGAACTGTGCTATTCAGTCTGTGCAGTTTTTCACTAAGTCAGACACAGGTGTCCATAGAGGAATGGTTAAAGGAGCAGTATTATTACAAGCAGTGTTGATAAACAAGAGTGGATTGGTGAGCAGTATTTTAGAAATCACAAAATGACCAACTACTTCTGGCTACTATTCAGTACAAAGAGCAAAAGATGAATGTATGTTACTATGTATAGGTAAGAAATGGGAAGCTGAAAACCACTTTCTAAATTTTTAACTGAAAGACAGAGATGCTCTGGTCTGAAGCCAGATATCCAGCCTTTTATAGCAGTGGTGCTCACCTTTAAGCTGTATATTGGGATATCTGCAAAGAATAAAAATAATTCTGAGACTTGGGTGCTAATTAAGCCAAGGCTGCAGCCTCTAAATTAGGATTCTTTTAAAGATTACTAGTTGGTTTCATTTACAACCCAGTTTACAACCATTGCTTTATAGTGAGCTCTCCACTTCCAGAACAAGCAAGACTAGGTTCAAGATAATTTGGAAGTTCACTTATTGTTGTTTTTCTATTAGATTTAGAAGTCTAGTGTCTTCATTATAATTTAAAATCGGGTATTAGCTATTAGACATATTTTTGATCACTAATGTACTTGTGTGAGGGAATATCCTGTTAATTAAATGTATATGGACTCTGGAGTCAAACAACCTGGATTTGAAAGAGGTGCTGCTGAGAAATGTTGAGCTACACATAAATAGCCGTGGATGCAATTTCAAAGAATTGAGACCCATTTAATGCCATTTGAATGTGTGTGAATTGAGTTTTAATCACAGCAAAAACATGATTAGAATTTCAAGTCTGATAAGGATAGCTCTAACTTAGTACGGGAAATAATTGGCTGGTGGAGGTAGAGTTTGGACAGGAATTGGAAGTCAGAGATAGCCTGAGGAGGCAATACTAATAGTCCAAAAAAGGTAATAAAATGTTGAATTAAGGTAGGAAATGGAGAAGGAAAAACATGATACATGACATATCTGCAGAATAATATTGAATTGGTATGGTGACAAACTGCTGAGAGAGATGTGTCTAAAATACTGATATCGATTAGCAGGTTTTACTACTACCGTGACCGGTGGCCAAACTACTGAACAGAGAGGGAAAAGCAGATTGTGGGGGAGGAGAAGTGTAGGAAAGATGATGGCATATTTACTTTCTGCTCTCTGTGCACCTATTGGATGCTTCTCCACTTAGGCCAGCCCTCCTCACTGAGCTGTGTGTGGTGCTGCAGACACAGATTTAGGACTGAAGAATGTATGCTGGTTGAGAAGATTAAAGGCTGAGAACAGAACTCAGAAAGATTACATACACATTCATATACATAGAAACAGATGTTATATGTATTTATTATAATCCTTACAGTGTGTGTGAATATGTATATATACACACACACTCTGAGGATTATTCTGAGCTGACCCAGGAGTGGGAACAAGGAAAAGCTTTCAGAAAGAGATGAGCAGAATTAGGACAGGATTCAATTGTTAACTCTAAAAGAGGACCCTCAACATGAAAAAGGCCCTTTAAAAGAGAGCATTTCTACATTGACAAGTAGGAAGAAGGGTAAAACGAGGCCTCTGGTGTTGAATTTAAAATCTGATTGGTCATCTCATCAAGCAGTGATCATCTGAGAAAATAAATTTTCTTTACTGTGTATTTTATTCTTTGCTCATTAGATTTCCTGTCGATTAAAGAAAAAGTTGCTTGGTGTAAATAGGAATTCCTTAGCAACTGACCATTGTAGCTAAAGTGTGTTTAACAGGCCTTGGCAATTCTGTCAGAGGGGAATACCTGCAAATCATAGAAAGGAATGAAACATAAGTAGAGGGTAATGGCATTTAGGTACTATGGTTTTTTACATAGTATTTATAAATAGTAAGTAAAATGGGTGCATTGTGTGCATGTATGTGTGTTCACATGTGTATTGTGTGTGGGTGTGTGTGTATTCTGTAATCACATAAATGTGCAGCTTGCTGTTTGTGAAAGGTGTGATGTTACTTTGGCCTTCGCTAATTTTCCCTAATTAATACAATTTTAACACCTTACATTTTGAGGGTAACATCCAAAATAATAGTATCTTTTAAAAGAGGCCATAAGTCAAATGTTAATTAGTAAAACCTATATTTCACAAGTAAACACAGACATTAGAAAACTACTCCAAGATACATTACTTAATAAAATAGCAGGGCTAAGATGCTGTTGTAGTTGTGTTTTTTTTCCCACTTTTATTTCATTGCTTTTAATTTTAATTATGTCAAATATAGCCTAAAAAGAAGGCAACTGAATCCCTGATGCCACTCCAAATATTTTCTGATGAACGAAATACTGCTAAGTAGTACTTGAAAACATATTTAAAACAATATTTATATTTATTAGGTGACATCTGAGATCAGATAATTTGCTGGGAGGCAGAGCACATTAGCCTAGGGGATACCAGATATTTGTCTCTAAGGAAATGTTAGCTACAGGAATGAAATTAGTGAAACAAACTGTGATTTTACTTGAAAGTAAAACATGAGCATAAAGGTTTTTTAAATAAACTATGTTATTGAATATGATTGAGCAATCTTACTAGGATTTTATTTCAATCTTATAACTTTATCTTTGTCATATAATTTCAGAAACAAATTCCAAGGCAATTTAGATTAAGAAAATGTATATATTGGAGATAACCAGCTGAATATTTTAGGATATTAAATAATCTGAACAAAACTATTTTTTTAATCAAAACATCAATATATACCTTCTTTGTGGCTTTCTGTTTAAATGTGTGCATATATTAAAGTGCTTCTACACATTTATCATTGTTTTACTTTGCTGTAATTATTAGATGATAAGTCTCAATATTTCAGATTTTGAAATTTGTTCCTGCCAAAGAGAGGCCAATGACAGATACATAAGATGTATTTTATACTCCCAATGAAATTGATGGCCTCGTCTGATGAATACATTTTATTTTTGTTTCTCCAAATTCTTCCCAAAGTTATCTGAGACAGCTTACATTAGAGATTAAAAAATAGCATGCAAAGTATTTGTTGCTGAAAAAAATAAGAAAATAATGAATGAAGCATAGGAAGAGTGTAAAGCATGACAGATACTATTCAGGTAAAGTAGCTGATGATAGCTGTTATACAAATACATAAAAGTTTTGGATATGGAACTAAAAAAGACCCCAAATAGCCATAGCAATCTTGAAAAAAAAAAAAGAATAAAGTAGGAGGGACCACATTACCACATATCAGATTATATTACAAAGCCACTGTAATTAAAACAGCTTGGTACTGGCACAAGAACAGGCAAATCAATCAATGGAACAGAACCCAGAACCCAGAAATTGACCCGAGACAATGTGCTCAATTAATATTTGACAAAGGTGGCAAGAGCACACAGTGGACTCATGACAGTTTCTTCAATAAATGGCGTTGGGAAAATGGGACAGCTACTTGCAAAGAACTGAAGCTAGACCACCAACTTATACATAAACAAGAATAAACTCAAAATGAATAAAAGACTTAAATGTAACTCATGAATTTATAAAAATTCTAGAAGAAAATGTAGGCAACAAAATTTCAGACATCATATGAAGCAGAATTTTCACTGATACAACACCTAAGGGAAGAGAAACAAAGGAAAAAATGAACATGTGGGACTACATCAAACTCAAAAGCTTCTTCACAGCAAAAGAAACAACCATCAAAATGGAAAGGGAACCCACTTTATGGGAGACCATAATTGTCAATGATGCTTCAGATAATAGATTAATTTCCAAAATATATAGAGTACTCATACAACTCAACAAAAAAGAAGACAAAGAATAATTAAAAAACGGGTAGAGGGCCCTGGCCAGTTTGGCTCAGCGGTTAAAGCATCGGCCTGCGGTCCGGAGAGACCCGGGTTCGGTTCCCGCTAAGGGCACGTACTTCGGTTGCAGTTTGTCCCTGGCCCTGGTTGGTCGTGCGGGTGGCAGCCACTCGATGTGTCCCTTCACGTCAATGTTTCGCTCTCTCTCTCTCCCTCCCACTCTATCTGTACAAAAAATGGAAAAATATCCTCAGGTGAGGATAAAAAAAAAAAAGAAAAAGAAAAAAAAATGGGTAGAGGACCTTAATAGACACCTCACCAAACAGGACATATAAAAGCCCAAGAGACATATGAAAAAATGCTCAGTGTCACTAATCATCAGAGAGATGCAAATTAAAACAAGTAGGAGGTATCACTTCACACCTGTCAGAATGGCCACCGTCAACAAATCATCAAACAACAAGTGTTAGTGAGGGTGTGGAGAAAAGGGGATTCTAGTACACTGCTAGTGGAATGCAGACTAATGCAACCACTATGGAAAACACTATGGTGTTACCTCAAAAAGTTAAAAATTGAACTGCCATTTGACCCAGTGACCCCACTTCTAGGAATATACCCTAAGAAGCCTGAAACACCAAGCAGAAAGAATGTATGTACCCCTATGTTCATAGCAGCACTATTTACAATAGCTAAGATCTGGAAACAACTCAAGTGTCCATCAGTAGATGAGTGGATTAAAAAGCTGTGGTACATGTACACAATGGAGTACTATGCAGCTGTAAGAAAGAAAGATCTCTTATCATTTGAGACGACATGCAGGGACCTGGAGAGTATTATGCTAAGCAAAACAAGCCAAGCAGAGAAAGACAAATATCACATGATCACACTTATTTGTGAAAAAAAGGAACAAACTGATGAAGAAAACTGACCCAGAGACATAGAGGTAGGATACAGACTGACAAACCTCAGAAGAGGGAGTGTTGAGGGGGAGGAGATAAACCACTAAACTTATATGCATGTATGCATAACCAATGGATATAGACAACAAAGCTGGGGATGAGGCATGGGTGGGGATGGGGAAGAGGGTGTCAATGGGGGGAAAAGGAGAAACATCTGTAACAAAAACAAATTAATAAAAATATATTTTTTTAAAGTTTTGGGCATCCCAGTAAGGATAAAGGGACTAATATTAATATAATAACAAAACTTATGAGACATTAAAAAAACAACACTGTATGCCACATGTACATGGAAAAGAAGCAAATCAACAGAAATCATCTGAAGAAACT